TCCATCTGTTCTATCAATTTCTTATGGCTGCTAGTCTCCAGACATGAGAGAAATAAGTCGGCAAAAAGTAGTCCCAACGGGCTTCCTATTACGACCCCATCGATTTGCCAAACTGGAACTGAATATTTTAGTACATAGTAGTAACAATTCCCGCACTTCTTCCTTAGTGATAGGTATATATCACCGATCTCTGAATATGAATCCAATAGTTTCAATGACTGGAACATTTGTACATAAAACGACAACATCAGATGACAGCGGGTCCAGTACTATTTAGGTTGATGAAATTTCAAACGAATTAGAATGTATCGGAAACAGTATGTTTTCCAAAGCTGTAGCATCAAGCTACCTTGTAGTAAGGTGAACTGATCATCTATAACATGTGTCTTTATCCCTCACTCAATGTCCTAGTCTGTAAAATATGTGTATGTATTCCTTTATTGCATGGAAGTAAATAAAATCATATATGTAGAGTCAAAAGCTGACGAGTCCTACTGAAATTTATCAATTCAGTAAATCCTGCTTTCATTACGTTTGATGCTTGTTTTAAATTTGTATCGGGAAACACACGCCTACAAATCCATAATTTTTTGCCTTTTTGTCAATCTCATTAAATTGTGATATTCGGTCGCAGAATTTGAAGTTAAGAAATACGACATAAATTTCAGTAGAGCTGAGCAATACATGTAGTCACTCCTATGCGTATTTTTGTGACATGATAGAAAGTATTGCTCAATAGCTATGGATTTGAAGACATGAGACAATTAGGATAGTTTCTTTTCCAGTTCCCACATGATACAACAATAGTGAAATCAAAACTGTTATTTTCACTCAGATTTGCCTACCTAACGTGTTACTAACATTTCAGTGTGACATTTAATAACGAGAATCGATGTTATTTTATACTTCATGAATAGTATACATTACTCTGAGGTTCCTCATTCTATAGAGTGGAAAAAAATAATCTACATATGACCGACATTGATGAAATTGTTTAGACTACTCAAAGGTTAATGATTTATACAGTGATGAAATAAACATTCTAGAGAAGAGAAAAATCTGTATAAATGGGAGGGGGTTGTGCACAACGCTATTCGAATTTTGGTAAAAATTAAAACATGCTTAAGTAGGTGTAATAAAAGGTGGATAGATTTCCATTATATTAAGTAATAAGATGAATATAACCTGGAAAGTGAGAGTAAGTTTTGAAATAGATCAAAAACTAAGGTGGATAAAAGGGTCATGAGGTCATGATATTTTGTGCGTAAAATTCTGGAAACTAAAATTACCAAGGTAAAGCAAGATCAGCATAGTATCTCGCTCAATACATAGATCAGGTCTGAGTCTTTTATTTGCAACTGCTCCAGGAAACCGAGAAAGGGTGAGTTTCAGTATTATCCCAGATGTCTAAGTAACCTACTACATTGCTTTATAAACACCATCAGATTGTGGATCTTGTCAAAACTGATCTCTGACATCATACTGGTTGCTTTGTAACGCATCTGAAGATACACAGGAGATTCGTATACGTTTCGAACACCATCTTAGCTCTATGTAAGCCACGTAACACACATGGCATCACAGTCATTGAGGTCCATAAGATCACTACAAATACTTGGTCACAATTAATGTCACTGTTCATTCAATCAATGATATGCATTTGATGGTTTTTCACTTCAAGTGCCATTCTTATCTTCTTTGTTTTACTCTGCTTTCGTATATTATAAGTATGTGTACCCTGTCTAAAAGAGGGGCGAAAACTAAAGTCTTTGCGAATGTGGAATGTGAGGAATTAACTTCCAGGTATTTGTCTTAGGGAGTCACTTTCCAGGAATCTCTGATGGTGTGGTGATACCTGTTGCATATGCCTTAAGGCATAGCGAGGATACGTAAGTAATTTTTATTCAGTATTTTATCTGCCACCTGAATCTTTCCTTACGAAACAATGTTTGAAAGTAAAATGGTTTCTAGACATACACCTCACAACATTCGAAGTTACTTTCATTCTGTATATCGTTGTTCCACTTTAAAATAGGTACGCTTTGACCGAACTCAGTGATACAGAAATCGAATACTCTAGAGCATTGAAACAATTAACAGATGTATTGGATTCCTTAAGTGGAAAATAATTCTTAATCAACCAGATGGTTCAGAAAAAATCATTGATTATCCATCTGTGATTGATAATGACGTTAGAGGTCTTCAAGCGACTTTGAGTAGAATTGTTCAATTCAGTGGGTAAGTTGAACATTTTTTGAAAACTGTCATAAATTAGCGTACGATATACAATTTTTAATGCAAAGGGAATAATGAATTTAATCGGTGCCGCTACAGCACATTTTTGCACTCACAAGAACACAGGTGATGCATAAACACTTCAAGGATCCTATAGAACTGTTTCGGAAATTGAATATTCTGTCTCATAAATTCATTGTCATATAAGGCATCCGATAAGCATGCTGCTTTGAATATTACTAACTGAAGTTTAACACATTAAAATACTTATTACTTTCCGAGAATTTCACACTTCTACAGTGAAATGTACGTCCACACTTGTTTGTGGTGTTTCATTTCTAGTTGACGTTTTTGCGGAAGAACATGAAGGAGGTAGTTACCCTGTCTAATAAAGAATTTTCCGTAACTGATGAAGTTTATTTCGTAGATACCGCCAAAACTATCAGCATTCACGATTAAGTCTTGTGGCCTTAATGGCTTTAAGTAAGGAGATTTTGTAGGTTTGTAAGCTACAGTGAGTGGTTCTCAAAAACTAATGTTGTTGCACTCTTAGAAAAAACTTTTCGTACATGGGAAGACAACGCGTCTGTCAACTTCTTCAGTCACCTTTTCAACTGATTGAAAATAAAAATAAGGTCTTTTGATGAAATGGTGTTTACAGTGGGTTTTTTTTAAAAACAGCCATGAAACAGTTTTCTCATTTCCTCTTTATTATTTTTATGACTTGGTACTGTTGGTGGGATAGGAAGTTTCGAACCATATTTTCTACCATGTTCACCTGAGATACGAAATGTCCACGGAATAAAACAGACTAGAAGTGTCATTCTGTCACTTTGAATTACTCAATCTATGGTATTTGAAGCGTAGTTCCTAACTTTAAAAACAATCTCTTTCGCCGAATCAGATGATGGTTACAGGTCAGAATAAAAGTTAATTATGAAAAATGCCTTTTCGTTCGTTACTTAGACAACTTTATTAATCGATTACTGTTCGGTTTTCAACAACCTAATTTTTATATTTTTTAGAGCCTCTAATACATTTTATTATGCCGACAAACTAGCGTAATCCTTTCCCGTAAACATTATAAATTCATTTCATGGGTAAGGTATAATATAAGTGACGTTATGTCAACAGAAACCTCGAGTAACTAAGGCAAAAAACTAGTACGAATATACGTGTTATTACCTAGTACTTAAGAAATAGTGAGATTTATTCAGAAACCAAAGATTATCTTCGTGTTCTCACATACTTCCATACTTGCTTTAATACTCCGTTTAGACAGAATACCTTTAAATCCATCACCGCAGAAACAACAGCAGTGTAATCATTTAATCAGACTCGTCACTTAATTTCAGGTGACTTAACTATTTCACTCACTTAAAGGTGTTTAGTTGAATTATCCCAATACTTTTTCTCCCTTTCTGTATGTGACTGTTGATTCCTTAATGACCAGCTTTACGTCAAACCGTTTTCTTTATAAAAATTACACTCTTCAGAGGTTTTGTATATTCATTAGTGACTGTTCCAACTATAATTTCTTCTCAACTCACTAATTAGGATGAGAATGATGAAAACCACTTTCACGAAATGGACTCACTTCATTCCGAAAGAATTCTCTATGTAGAGGAAGCTGTAGCTATCAGATCAAAGAAGCCTGAATTCTGTATCCAAAAAGAATACCTTCAGGCCCTACTCCATTCTTGACGTTCCGTTGACTAAACCGTATTCCATTAACCCTTTTGTGTCTTTCTTAACCTTTCTTTTTCGTCTTCGCCTTCTTCTTTTCTTTCTTTTCAAAATAGAAGATAAAATCATCAGTAATAATGCTATTATTTTAAACCAGAATTTCCTCTCTTCCTATTATAATAAACCTTTAAAATTCCTGTAAACACTTTTTATACATTATTGCTGGCGTCATTATCTGAGTCGCTTCACATTTTGACCATCCGATGATGAAATATACGCTCTATTTCTGCTGTTAGGTAAATTCATGTCATTCTTTGTACAAATCACTCACTCAATACAATGTAACCTTGAACTTATTATTAAATTTCACCATCATACGCATGATGACCAATCAATTGTCAAAGTTTACACTGAACTTATTCTCACAATTGACATACATATATAAATTACACTATTTATTATTTGTCCCTTGAGTTACCAGTAGAACATAAGGCGTCTCCATTTCATACTCTTCTCTGTAGTCTTTTCAACCTGGCTCCAGCACTCCCAACAACCTTTCATTTCTTCCTCACACAATCTCCTCCATGTCAACCTCGCCACCAATGCCCAACCCGTCGTTTCCCCTTTAGGTTCCACTCGACGCCTCAGCCTGGCGCGTAATGTCCCTAATCAGTCTTCTCAGTGTGTGCCAATCCAACCATCTCCACGTTCTCCTGCATATTTGCTAGGTGATGGGTTCTTGCTTCGTTGATTCGTTCCCAGCCAGCCAGCCAGAGTTCCTTGTTGCTTATTTTTCTTATTCTGGCTATCTGATCTGATATTCAGCATCGAGTGAGTGTAGGTGGCAGCTGTGGATGAATGTCTGTAGTTTTTTGGAAATGCTTTACGTGACGCGCCAAGTTTCCGAACCATACAGAAGCACTGACTTACTTGACAGTGGTGTTGAAAATCAGGATCTTGTTCACACTTTATGCTAAGTGTAGTGCAGTGCAGATCTCCACACTGATTTCAGGTTAATGAAGGAAGGCCTGTTTTGCTCTCCTTCCAATCCTGGCTTTGACATCCTCATCTTTGCCTGTAGTTGAAACGATGCTGCTTTAGTAGGTAGGTAGGTGGAAGGCACTACTTCCTTTAGGTTTCTCCCGTTGATGGTGACTGGTGACTATTGTTGTTGTTTGGGTATCTTCATCAACTCTGTCTTCTCTATATTCATTTGAAGTTCGGTTTTCGCTGCCTCTGCTGTCAACTTGTTGATTTTTGTCTTTAGATCTTCGAGTTTGTGCGACAAGACGTGAGACATAAATCATCATCCGGGAAATTCAAATCTTCTCCTGGGGTCCTTTTATCGGTCCAACCAGCGTATGCCCCCTTCTAGTTCTTTACAGTTTGTTGAATAGTTCAGTCCGATTTGGCTGACCACAACCAAGAAGATCATCGGTGATTGTAGGAGGCAGCCTTGTCTTACTCCTTCCTGTCTTCACTTCAAAGGCGTCACTAAGCTTCTTATTGCGAATCACTTCACATATGGCATCATACACCATATAGCTCTTGAATGAGGTTGATAAAACTTTATGGCTGCTGAAGCAGCCACTTGCTAAATAACTTCTTAGTCGACGCTATTGAAGGCCTTTTCAGAATCGATGAAGTTGAGGGAGAGGGTTGACTGACATTCTATGATGTTGCGTAGCGCTGTGATTTGTTCTTCCTGAATCCAGCCAGCATGCTTCGGTCGAAATTTTGAATGCAGAGCATTATCTAGCCTCTCTAAGATGATTGGGCCTAATATTTTGCTTTAAGTAGACACTGGCATGATTTCACGCCAGGTCTTGCAAAGACTTATGTCTCCCTTCTTTGAGAGTTTATCAGGACAGCCCATCTTCCAATCAATCGGCGGGTACCTATCCTTTCTTCCTTCTGCAGTAGTGGAATGAGCATGTCCGCCGTTGTCCCTGCGTCTGTTTTCAGTGCTTTTAGTGGACTTCCGTTTGGTTCTGCTGCTTTCCCGAATTTCAGCAACTTTATGGCATGTAAAACTCTACTTCTGCTCTTCTCCGAGGGCTTGTGTTCACTGGTAGTTCTGCCGTTGCTGGTGGTATTTCTGGACGAGTTGCAGGTGGTGGTGGTCGTCGATTCAACAATTTTCTGAAGTGGTCAGACCGTCGTTTCATTTGTTTCCCCCTCTTGGTGGCACATAGACTTCCTTCACCATCTTTCATTGATTTCGTCTGCTTGATCTCTCCCCTCCCACATAGTAACCTGGTTATTTGATACAAGGTTGTCAGGTCTCTGTCGCTCCTACCTGCAGCCTGTTCTGCTTCACCTGCCAGTGTGGCGTGGAAGTGTCTTCTGTCTTTGAGCTCACTCCTCTTCATTTCATTGTCCAATGTAGTGTCTTGTGGGTTGTGTTCAATTCCTCCCTTCGTTGTTCATCCCTGTACTGCACCACTTCATCTTCTGCTTCACTATCAGCATCTTCCTCTCTCTCCTCTATCAGCTTCCATGCCTCAGTTGAGATGCATTCTATTCCCTGTCTTGTTTCTTCTTACTTCCTAACACTGTTGTGTGGGTTTCCCTCCACGTCTCTTTCACAGAGTTCCAGTGCTCTTCCACGCAGGCTTCCTCAGGGATGTTGCTCATCGTCTCCCATTTCGTCATGATGACTGGCTGGCTGACGTGAGGATGTCCTTTGAAGTTTCCTCTTTCACTTTCTGTCCTAGGTTGGTGTTGAACTTGAACTGCAGCCCATCACCAACTTCTGAGAAGGCTTCCAACTTGGTCTTGAAGGTGACTCCCTTGCACTAGATAGATACTGAGTGGTGTGAACCTACATCTGCTCATCTTCTTCATCTGATCTTGTGTCCAGTAGGCCGACTGCATCTCCACTTTCTTGAGATAGAGATGAAACCAATCTGATTTTTATTGTGTCCTGGTGTCTGGTGAATTCCATGTCTCTGTCATGTGAATGTCCTTGTGTTTGTACACACTAACTCGCCTCCAATCACCAAATCGCTGAATGCGCAGAAGTCTGCAAACAGTGCTCTATTCTCATTCATTTCACAAATGAGTGCTTCTCGACCCATGATGAGTTCTCTTCTTGTGTTGTCTGCTCCGAGTGTGACACTCATGTCACCCCACCCATCAGAATTTCGGTGTCACCAACTGGGGTGTAGTCCTGTCACATTACTGATTGCAGTTGTCTGTAGAATTCCTCCTTCTCTTGATCTGCACTATTTGTAGTTGCTTAGCGTAGCATTGTATGATTGTAACTTTCCTACCTGTTGAGTTGCATCTTGCTTTTGTGATCCTGATCGTTGAGGAGATTGGTTCTCACTGGATGAGAAGCTTCGATTTTCTTGGAGACATCATGATAGCCACTCCAATACTCAATGTGCTCGTGGTTGTCTTCAGGGTGACAGTAGCGGCATATATTATTGATTCTCCAGCTGGCAGTTTAGCGAGTCCACTTCCATTGCATCTACTTAAACAGATTCCTGGCACTTCTATGCCATATCTTCTCATCTCTTTTGCAGTCTGGGCAGTCTTGCCAGTCAGCTTCAAAATTATGCGGACATTCCATTTCCCTATTCTTACTTTTTCTTTCATTGAGATGTGATACATCGTCTAATTGGCTTCTCGGAGGCTTTCATCAACTGGTGTCATTTAGTTCCCCCGATTCCAGCTAGGAATAGGTTAATTTTTATCTTTTACGTTTTCTTTTTGCTTTGAAGTTTCTTTAGCTGTTGGATTGGTTTTAAGGGGTAGAGTTGCTAGCCGTATGCCCACCCTTGCCTCTTGTCCTGGCTTAAGACCGTCTAGTAACTGGTGAACTTGTTAACCAGGTTAGGTTATAAGTTCCATTATCATCCACAATCTTTAAGAATCAGGTTTTAATTATAATTTCACACTCATTCCTAAATGCATTTGCCGTAATTCTGACTGTTAATATGTCAACAAAATTCATTTATAACTGATTTAGGAATAAAAATTGGGCACAGTGGTAGATTATAATTCCATTTTAGTCTATTTATTAGAAATATCACACACTAAAGCAGTATCATCGACTGAATAACGTTTCGGACACAATTTATTGTCCATATTCACACCAGGTAACTCCACACTTTTGAAATATTTTATATGATCGTAATTTTCTCTCCTTTGTGAAAAGGGTAGTAGAATTTTCCGTATATCTGGGACAGTTTCAGAATCACTTCTGTTGCATTTACTTTGTGTTGGTTCGACAAATAAAGGTTCGGTTATCAACCAAACTCAGTCTCAAAGATGTGGAGTTACATGATATGAATATGGACAACAAATTATGTCCGAAAAGTTATTCAGTAAATAATAATGTTTCACTGTGTGACATTCGTAATAAACGGACTAAAATGACTTTATAACTGTAGAACCTGATGAGGAATTACTGAAAAGAATATTCTTTGTTCACATTTGACTTTCAGCTAACATTTATCAAAGTGCATTTAGGTCTAGACAACATGAAATGCACTGTTCTCCAGTGACCAGTCACTATACTCAATCCACTCCCACAGGGGGTAAATTCCAGCCAGAATAGCATACTGGCAACATAGCTGACCGCAACACTGAGTGACACGGGTTTGAATCTCAGACTAGAGGCCGATTCTGTTGAGGTTTCAGATACGCCTTACTGACAAATCCCAACAAGCACGAAATCCAGGTCATGAATGAGTGGTCTCCTGAGTGCCGCCAGCCAAATCTCTTCCTGGAAATGACCTCGTCAAAATATCATCTGGTTATTGGTGCTACTCAAACATTTGTTTATGCAGAATCTCTTTTTCTTGAACACCATCATTTGTGTTTCAGTATTGTTTTAATATCGTGCTTACTATGTGATTCTGTATATTTCAGTACATTCTTGGAGAAATTACCTGTCTATGCACTTGAGCCAGGGAGATCTGCCGAATGTTTTACAAAGGATGTAGGTTGCTTTTGACATAAAAATTTTAATTGTGATCTCCATATGTTACCGTTTGTTCCCTGTTTTGATTTGCTTATTGATACGTGAGTTTTCATAAGAAATGTCATTTAATGTGTTCTTTGATTTCCAAAGAATTTCGCGGTTCTTTGTTAACGGCAGACAGTAGGCATTCTGAAAGATGCATACAAACACATACGCAAACAAATATGTTTCATCGTTTTGGCTTTTTCTTATGATGGTTGAGAGATGTTCGCCAAAACATCTTAAAAATGATGTATTTTAGCCATAAAACCTGGCTAAAATTAGGATTATTCAGTAATTTTTGGATTGAATGTCGTTTCTGCCAAAGAAGTAACTTAGTTCCAAGGTCTGAATCAAGAAAAAGTATTTCATGTCATCTTATCAGGACTTTCTGTAGTGCGGCTGATGTTAGTGGTCACTATTCTGTTCAAACAGTGTGTCGAATGAATAACTTTCAGCAAAATTTTAAGTGATATTTCCATTTATTGCAACATTTTTACTCTAGAAAGCCACACTATGCTATTTTTACTTGCTTGCTATCAAGTGACGAACATAAGACAAAATAAATTGTTGAGAAAATGAAGAAAAGACGAAAATACAACTGATTCCATTCCATTAGGTCAAAATCAAAAACAGTTAACTCCATAGGAAATTATTTCCTGATTTGCCTTCTGGTAATGGTCAGTTTGAGAAACACAAATCATAGAAATTCCTTCCAAGTGGGTATAATTTGTATTAAAAATGCAGTCACGGTGGTGATACATGAGTCCCTATCAGTTGCGGCTGTTTCCTAGCTAGTATCTAAGGTACAGTTCACTGCTAATCATCATACTGAAAAGCTTGTGAGACAAAGTAGGAATTAAATGGGAATGTACACAAGTGATAATAGCTATAACAGAGTGTGAAACTGTATGTGACTATAAGGTTAATTATTGGTGACTTTTGAATACTTGCTTCGAGATACTTAGACTAGATACGAGTAATGCGACTGTTATCCCTCATACCTTATACCTCACTGAGCAGCAACAGTCACAAGACAAAAGACAAGCCTGTGACTTATGACTTCATCCGACAAAAAACATAGTATTCATATACAGCTTCTACTCAGAAAATGAAGCCACTAGATCACCAATCAACTGAAGGACAAAATTGTTCACTAAAATTAATTTAACCATACATGGACATAAGTCAAGATTTGAAAGGAAAATATTTCTACCTCAATGGCAAATGACCTTAGATGATGATTTTCATTTTTGGTCGCTTCCTAATACAAACCTTTTTCATTCTTTTGCTGCATATAACAGGGATCAGTTTACACATACCAGTATTTTAAATTAATGTCGCATTTAAATAAATCAACTGCATTACTCTCCATCACATTCGGGTTAAGAAATTTTCATATAACAGTGGATATATCTAGAAAAAAACTGTAATCATATACGACTAGGATGAATGTATTCGAATAAAAGGAATGGTAAAACAAGTCCAAATTGAGTAAGATTTTCAACGTTATTTGGTTATGAAAAAGAAACCTGAAAAATCAACTTCAGAACGTTTTTTTTGCATAATTAAATAAGAATAATTTCTCTTTCTTCCTTGGACTCACTGTGTCGTGAAAATCTCTGACACTGAATATGAAGGAGCAGAAGGATGTTCTGATTAACTAACAAAATAAATTAGATGACACTGATTTGTACTTTGACTGAATTTCTAATTTGGTATTTCATACCATATCTCATCAACTAAAAGCTCAGTGCAGAAAAAGGTATCATTAAATATTACCAGTTCAGTAAAAAATTCATAATTGGATTTTACCGTATATTTCCAAATTCCCTCCTGAATATAATATGGATGTTCTTCTTTGGGACTTTGTTTACATCTTGGATTATAAATTCTGGTGGGAAAGCAACCTGCTTTAGTTTCTTGTGCAAAATTCACAAGAATGTTGTCTATGATGTCTATTTCAATGCTGAAACGACTCACAACCGTAGCTTTCCACTCAAGAACAGATGAATCCGAAAATAAGCTATTCATAAAAAGGAAAAGTGAAAATCATTAGAACTACATCTGTTCTGCTTTCATGACAAAATAGTAAATTATAATAACATAAGGAATTGCATAAAAGATAATTGATTTATATTGTAACTAGTTTTACTGGTTTAACGACAAATTGACGTTAGCTCTTATAGTTAAAATTTGACGTTTTATTATATTTCGGGTAATCTATTACAGCGAGTAGTAAGTGAACATATTTTATGTTCTAAAATAAGTGTTGCATGTGTCTGTAGATAGGTTTGGATTATCCTCTTTATAAAGCTGAAAATAAATTACGCTAAATCACCTGATCTTACTGAATTGATTACTGTAAATCACTAAGCTCTAATAAACAGCTTACATTTCAAGTTGTATGCGGGCCAGTTACGCAGCAAACCGATTTCATGTTTTTCCAATTGTCCTCTAGTTATGTATTGGAAAGGCACGAATAAGAAATAATACAACTGAAAATGGAATACCTACAGAGGCTTCATAGGATAACAAAAGCTGGTCTGACTAATAAAAAGAGTAAATTTCGCCACTTATACTTGAAGACGTCCTGGAGTGTACCCAAACTCTTCTCAAAAAGCATAACACATAAACATGTTATTTAAAAACTGCGGAAAGCTCTCAGTTTTGGTGAAAGTTTTTAATTATGCCGTGGATACAAAAGCACTATCCTGAAAGTCTTCTTCAAGTCTCTGAAAACGGGACGTACTGGACGTGGACTTAAAATATGGATTCCTGAGGCTTCGACACTTTATTATTATACTGAGGACTGGTTCTCAAGATAAAGTTCAGCATCAGCCACATATCTTATACAGTCTGCTTAAATTCAGTGGTAAAACTGTCCATAATACTTAGAACTTTATTTGCCAAATATATCGGTTGAAATGATAATCTTCGGAATTCGTGTAAGCTTTGTAACAACCTGGATTTAGGTACAGCTTTAACACACATCGACTGACTGGAACCAATGAAAAAGAATGATCATAATAGGGATAATCATACTAAGCAGTTTTGGGCAATGTTGTTCGAAAAATTACATTTTGGTAAATACTTTACTGAACTAGGCTTTAGACAAAAGTAACAGACATATTTTTCTATATTTTCTCTGTTATTTTTCTTTGGAACCAGTAAACTTCACTCGTATTTAAAACAAAAATTGTTGTCAACAACTGAGAAGATACCATTGCACAACATAGATTCGTATTAGTTGAAAACATGTTTTTGTTTATTAACAGTATTCTTGGCGCATTTACTAACACGATTACATCTATAGTAGATGACGTCGGAGGCATATGTAAAGTATTTTGTAAAACGTGAAGACTGAAAGTTGAACATACCATTATGACTGTGAATAAATCTTGCAACAAATGTTTTGCTTAGCCACGAACTCTCTCATTTATTGCTTGTAAATAATCTGTACCATCATAACGAGAGATTATTGTAAACAACTATACAACGTGGCTTTTCAAGGTCTGTGAACAGGATATAAATTTGTCACTCACTCTAAAAGCAATAAAGTGTGCAATCTTACTTGACATTTTAGGAAATCGTTCCACACTGTCTAAGATTATAATAGTAATATATATTCGGCTTGATCGACACAGCATTAAATGAAGCCGTACACCTGAAACTGATGGCCAGTTTATGAAAGAAAGTTTGAACCCCGTACATTTCAATTTCTTTATCTGTTTCACTTGTAGCATCACTCTAAGTAAATGCTCGATTCCCCCCTTGACTTCTTGTAGAAAGATCTTCTACCAGTCTCATTTTGCTCATTAAATCTGGCAGAAAATGTGTTAGTCTTAATTTGGTTGAGAAACACCGCCGAACTTAAGATAAAGAAAAAAAGGAATACTCCTGCACCATTTTTCCTCAGAGTAACGGTATACTAAAGTTATTCTGTTATGATGGATTATATTCTAGATTTTCATGTCACATTACATTCAGTTGCAGTATACGTCAGAATATCACGACCAATGTTTTCTCCTACTTGATACTTGGATCACACAACTCAGACATTCTTTACTAACTGAACATTTATTGGAGTATTTCGAAGTTAAAATTTTTTGGAAAAGACACTTGATAAATTTACATTTTCAATCATCATCAGAAAGCAGTTTACGCTATTCCTGATTAAAGCGACAATAGTCACATTTTATGGACTTCATTTTTTGATTAAGGTAAAAAAAGATATATGTAGATGTACCGAGTGATTTTATATAATTCGGTCTCACAACTGCTTGATACTTATAAGTAGTCTAAAATAACAGTTTTGATAATCATAAAATATTTAATAAAGTTCCATTGTAGATTGTAGACACATGATCCCAAAACTACGAAAAATAAGCGAATACAGAAACTACGGAAAGTGAAATACTAAATGGCAGTCTAAAGTTAAAGTTAAGTGATTTGTGATTACGCTAAAGGACGGAATGTAATTAATCGGCCATTACAGTAAACTAGTTGGTTAAGTGAAACATGGAGGAATTATTTTGGATGAATAAAACAAGAGGTTTTATGCATGAAATTCCATTAAATTATAGCTACGTATGGAGTAGAGGGGTGATATTACCTTCTTGCTAAATACAAACGTCTGAACATAGGGTTCCTTTTCAGATAGTACTGCCATTGGAAGTACTCTTGTATCTTTCCGAATGCTTAAGATAACTAAGCTTTATACCTTGTACCCACTATATGTCTGGTGCTCACGTTGTCAAGAGTTTCTCTCGTTCAGATTTATTTTTCCAAAAGTGCCAAAAACGTATACAGTGGTAGTTTTTTAATTTTTTCTCAAGTACTTTATTTGAGTTGTTTGAAAACTAGAAAACATTTTTGAAAGCGTTGTAATTAGGGAGTTCTATACTGTAGACTGGTTTAGTGAACACTGACTCCAAACTAGATGAGTTGAAGGTCATTTTCCTTGTTCTTTTCACATG